CCTATTATAAAGACCCACAACGAAAAGAAAATGTCTGGGCAGAATCTGAAAGTGTGATGGATAGTGATGGGGAATTTTATCTGATATATTAGATTAAGGGTTCGTTACCTCTTGTGATAACATCGCGCATGCGTTCCATGAGCTCCGAGGAACTCAGTGTGGACCAAGAGGGGAGGAACCGGTTGTAGGCATTGCTTTGGGGTTCCTGAGGATGTGGGATTTCGGGGTTAGGCACTGACAGGCAGTTAATCCACAGGAAACGATGCCTGTAGTCAGGGCAGAGCAGTTCCATTCTGTTTTCCCATTGAAAATTTGTGACCTGATGCAGATGCAAAATCAAACATGTGATTCTTTCAGACTTTCTAATTAAATGGATTAAACCCCCTGCATTTAATTCATACATGGCTTCACCAGTGTGTGTGAATTTAGAATACTGGACAATGATTTATACAGTTTTGGTTTGGGTCAAATATTATGTCATTATTATTAATTTAAAGAGTCTATTTTTAGCTTTAGATATGTGACAAAAGTTATGCAGCCTGGCTTTAAGAAAGTGGCTCTCAAACTTTTTGTTTGCTGGCCTGTTCCTTTGGCTCACAAGAAAGTTTTTTGCACCCGCTCGACCCAACTGTCTTGTTAACATTTGAACAAAGAGAAATCAAATGCAGTAAAATATATAAAATTACCGTATGTAAACTAGAATATCCTTAATTTGACAACGGCTACTTTAAAAGTGTGATCATTTTAAGTTTGCTTATTTTATTATGTAACATAAGTTAACATTGTTAATACTACGTTAGAGCTGAGTAGATATGCATATATATTTTATTTTATTTATAAGTAAAATTTTGAAAAGTATTTTGTTTATTGTACTTTACCATAATGCGGCGGTCTGTGGCGGTCTGTAAATTCAAGCCTGTTGCTATATTGAGAAAGAATGTGTAAAAGTCCAGGAATGAATATTTCTGCAAGGCAATGAATGTTCAATAGATCATATAGTTTTGTCTTTAGTTCAATAGAAGCATTTCCCCCTAAATGTAGTTAGAGTTTGTCCATAAACCGTTTTCACATGTGCATTAGGTTGGGTCTAGATAAGGACTCTGCCAATGTAATATTGTAGACTGGAAATAATCATCGACTTACGATTGTAGGTAACAACATTAAGGAAAGGGCTATAAAAAAGTCCTCTTAATTTATTTCTCCCTCTATTCCTCTCACAGAGGGAAACAGTTCAATTAAATCACAATTTAATGGGATAACTGTCAGTGGCTTATGAGTCTGAAAACACATTAAAAAGTTAAACTGAGACAAAGTTGTTCCTAACTTTGTCCTTAAAAGACATTTGTATTTTTATTAGAAACACCAATTATAGCTTGATTTAGTTCTCAGACATCAAATGCTGTGACACGAAATCCATGCTCCATTCCTTGTGACCTGTTTTTCAAAGTTTGCCCTGAGCTGACTTAGTTTAGCGATTGTAGTTTAGTTGGGAGCTGTGAACAGCATACGTCCTCTATGGTGTGAGTCCAAGGTGGGTGAATTCACACCCCCTTCCACTAAGAACGTAGGGCCAAGGCTTGAGTCAGGGATTGTCTGGACTCATCCCCAGGTTACGGATTAGGCCATATGCTGCTAAGATTTATCCTTATGTAACAGAGAAAGTAAGAGCTTGTCGAGGTTACCCAGATGGTTGGGAAGAGAGCACCACAAAGCATTCCAGTGTTCTGGCAATTCAGCCCATAGCCCGAGAATGAGCAGCTTTATTAGGTGCTGGTTTATTGCCTTGATTTGATTTGCTTGGATTTTAGCTGTGTGAGGCTTTGACCCATCTCCAGGGGTTTCTGAGTACAGCTCAGTGATGTGAGAGGCCAGGCATGCTACTTGTGTTCATGCTGTGCTCCAGGATCCATCCATCCATCCATCCATCCATCCATCCATCCATCCATCCATCCATCCATCCATCCATCCATCCATGCAGGTGGAGGAAGCTTTATTAAAAAGGTTTCAGAGCCTTTTTTATGGACCATAAAACTTAAACTCTTCCACTGTTGTTGTTCCTCCAACTACTCTCCATATGACCTAACCCTGTTTGACTCCCCCCCCCCCACATCCCCAGGAACATGAAATGTTCATGAGATGAAACGAAAGATAAAATGCTCTGAAGGGGAGAGCAATATATTGAGGGTTTTCTTTGACATTTACCGTTCCAGCCTCTCAGGCCTGGATAGTTTTAAAATCCACATATACTGCCTTCATCTAATAACATGATTCAGGCAAGGTAAAGCAAAGCAACTCGTAGGCTATCGTATTTCTCATATATCCATTTACAGAGCACCTGTAGTATGTTGTAAAACATAGCCTTTCAATTATTCTGCCACTTAAAACTTTCATAAACTCGTGCTGGTGCTACAGAACATACAGTGCCATGCTGAGAATGCATGGCCCCATGAACTCCTTCCTATATATTTAAGTCACAGCTGCAGTCTTGAGTCAATTTATAGGAGTTTTTATTTATGTGAAGACTGTAGTGAAAGGAAATTTCAACCTCCTTTACTGATACACCTCTACATAAAATCTTTTGGAATTTATTAAATGTTATTTATTAAATGTCAGTTTGAGATTATGCAGAGAGGTTTGTGAAGAATAAAAAAAAAGTGTAATGGGTA